ATTTTCAGAATTGATAATGTGACCGAATTTAATAGTTATTTATGTATCTAAGAGTTTATTAGTTTTTTGCGATTCGTAGTTTTAATTACAAACAACAAAAATTCAAAGTAATAACAATTTATAGATCAAATGCTACAAAGTGCTCCCGCTTCCGTCTCTGTCTATCTGCCTGGCGTCTGTGTTGATTTTTATTAGATACATAATCTCCGAAACTACTGGACCGATTGCTGTTAAATTTTGTATGTCAATGATTTAAATTTTATACAAAAATATACTCCTATACCTGTGGTGTACGAATCCGCTATCAATTTAACATTTGCAAATTATAATAACATTGTACTACCAACACGGGACATAAGAATTCGTGCAGTAGTGCGTTTTAAGGAGAACGGCGACCTGCGGCCGCACGTTCAATACCGAACTTGGCCGTTTCTTTTTTTTACATGTTAATGTGCTGTTACTAGTTTTGTTTTGTGCTATAACTAGTATTATCTATGTTGATGACGTCATCACATATTTTTATAGGACGAATTAATAACGATTCACCCCCTCTGTTTTGAGAAGACAAACTCATTGAAATCAAACTAATTTTTACGTGACACTCTTTCGCTTTATAAACATAAACACTTGAACTTAAACTTGTTATTAGTGCTGAGAAGATATTTTATCCATGTCTATAATAAAACTCCAGTGCTAGTGATTAGAGAGGATTTTCGGTCAACGCGAGTTTCTATCCTACAAATAGTCTATGAAAAGTTAGTGTAATTCTGCTGTTTTTATTATGAACTTATACATCAGCGAATTCATTTTAGAAATAGAAGATAGAAGACCGCCTACTTGGAACTTAACATTCTTACATAGCGTAAAAATGACACTTGGTTAAGAAAAAAATCTTACCTTTGGCTTCTATTTCTACTGCAATTTGTAACCAATCCCTTCATCTTCAAAAATACGGACCTATTACAAATGAAGAAAAATGTCAATTCCTAAAAGTTTATTTTTTATATGGTTGAATGCTGTAAAAAATCAATTCCACAAAGGTTCTTACCTTTTTAAATCCATCACGGAAAAAAAAATTAGTTCTGTCGACAATAATTCTGATTACACCAACTATGTTTTATAATTAATATAGAACAACTAACTTTATTGTGCCGAGGACAATACTGACATATTTGGATCAAAATAGTTGTACCAACAATACAGTATAGTTGGCAAAATAACAATATCATATAGTCAATTCAACAATATAGATTAGGGTCGGTGCGACTTACTGCTTTATTTATTTCAACTAGAATTGTAACTCATTTAATATTGTTGTGGCTAATAGAGTTTTTAGTTAATAAATAAAAAATCTGTTTCATTAAATTGTTTTATTAAAAAATAAACAATAAATGTAAACAGTTTACAATGTAAATGCAGTTATTAATACGCTTATCATTACTTCATTTGTACAATAATAACAAACAATTTTCTAAATAGGTACACTCATTAGAATTTATATAAGACGAACCTAATTTTCATTTTGAAGGTTTAAATACAACATATATTTTAGCAAATAATGGAAGATCCAATACATCAACCACAATAATGTCATGCTTCTTGTATGTTAGTCCTAAAATTTTTACCCACTTAAAGCGTTCTACATAATCTATATCATTAGTAATAAACATGTTAATACTCTGAAACACATATAAAATCTGCTGGACCATACTTTACTGTTTTTGTAAATCCATTATTACAAATAAGTTTGTGACATAACTGAAGTTGATTTTGTATTCCTAACGTTAAGCAAATATTTTTCTTTGAACAACTAATATTAGCAGTAATTTTAAAGGGTCTGTGTTTCGATTCGAATCTCATAGACCAAATATGCACCAGAGGTCCGACCATACGTACAAGTAAAGGATAATGTATCATATTGTAGTGTTTCGGTTTAAGTGTCTGTTTTAATAAAACTGTATAAATATAGTGGTGTTCATAAACCAATGATTTTAAGAGTTGCTCATATTGAGGTTGAACTGACTTATCTAAAATTATGTCCAATATTTTACATAATGTCAAATATAACTGCCAATAGGTATTATTCTCTGGCACTAAATGGCCAACCATTAAACCAAACAGTGAACCAAAGCACATCATTTCAGAAGCAGACATCTTTAAGTTATTCTTCTTTAGTTGATCTTCATTAATTTTAGGTGGAATATTTGTTTCTGATCCATAATCAAAAGCCGCAATTTTAGAATTTAACATTGTCAAACTAAATAATTTTATTTCATAAATAAAATGCTTTAATATTAAACTCAGGTCATAATTACACACTCCTTCTAACATATCGTGCATTATGTCCACACTGTAATTTTCGGTAACATCAAAACCAATTACTTCGTTCCAAATAGATTTTTTTTTAATACCTGTTAGAATAGGATTATTTAACTGCAGATGGTTTTCGTAACTAATAACATTACGAAGCTTAGTTTGATCTTCTTCACATTTTATTTGACACTCAAATTTTGTCATTGTGCAAAGACGGCAAAAATGAGTTGCGCTAAAACTCTCAACAAAATCTAGCATTGAGTTTAGTCCAAGATTGTTTCCAATACATAAACCGATGGTAAAATAAATGGTCCTACACTCTTGTCCGCAGTTAATATTTATTACAACATTGTGCAGATAATTTAATTCTAAAATTACAATTTTAAAAACTTGATTACCAACCGTTTTTCTGTCAAGAGGCTTAAACAATTGTACCAATAAAATGTTTTCTGTTAACGATTGAAATTCTGGGGGAAAACATGGAATAGAAGCATATACAGCCCCTAACTTATTTATGCCTGAATGTGATCCTAGAACGTTTCCCGTTTCATAGTCATCGAAATATATGAACAATGGAAAAACAATTTTATTCTCAAATAGTTGTAATTTCGATTGCCAAAGCTCACACTGAATAAAATTTTCTTTAATGATGGTATTATCCATAAGAAGTTTGGTATATTCGAAAGTTTTTTGAAACACATTGGGTAATTCAAAATTTTTTTTTAAATTGTCTCTAAGTGGAATTAACGTACCTTTTGAAACATAAGTATTTACCATTGAACAACATTTTTTAGTTTTTGATTCGATGTCTTCACGTATAATCAGGCTTTACATAAAAACCACATTTCTGAAAATATTTAAATCTTTTATATTCTGTTGACAACTCTTTGAAAGGATTTTGACGCAAGTTAAAATAAAGATTTACCAAATCAATTAATTTATCCTCACATTTAAGTGTGGTTAACAAGTTAAAAATAAAAATTTGGAAAGTTTTTAAAAATGTTCCATTAAATAATTTTGATGTCATATTAACAACATTTTGAACTTCAACCCTAGGTATGCAATTATTGCTATACAAAGATGAAACAAATTCTAAGACATCGTTTTTAAAGCTTTCAGTATCAATTTCATTTTTAATTAAATGATTTTGTAAAGGGGTGTCTGTATTTGAATTCTGATGAACATTATTTAATGTGGTCGACGCTGATGGTAGCATTCGCAAATTTTTATTTACTTTTTCGCTTGCAGAAAAATTTTGCCCTAAACTAGGTGTAATTCTATTGTTAGAAGTCAAATGTTTGTCTTTGACATACTTTCTGAAAGAATTTATATTACTCATTGTTCTGAAACAAGAATTTTCACAACATATTAGTGGTCCATCTTTAAAGGAATGCACGTGTTTTAAGTGCAATAGCAATATTTTTATGGAAAGAAATGATTTATTACACTGAAAACATATCATATTTGAAAATTAGGTATATCATGAACAAATTAAAAACAAAAGTAAAAAAGACAAGACAAAAATTTAACAGTTATTCAACAGACTCAAAAATGTATTGACGGAAATGTTATTTACATCATGTTTTGCATCGTGAATATTGTACATGTGCTGTTAAATTAACTGCCAAAGATGCTTACTTGGAGACGGATATTCTGCATTTAAAACGTGGAACATTTTGAAACATACATCAAAACATTTGACTACGCTCCCTACGCTATATAGATAAGAGTCTACTTGTAACATGCAACTTAAATTTTCAAAGTTACGATGGGTAGGGGTTGAAATGTATCACACTTATTAAGAAATTTGTTCCGCTGCTGTTCTAGCACCACCTTCACTTCGTCTGCTGTTGGAACATGCAGTAAAAACGTCTCCTGGCACTCAGTTTTTGACGGTCTCCATCTTATTTTATTTTTTTTTTTGGATTTGATTGTGACGTACTTGACCTGACACTTGTTTGGACAAGATGGGGTAAAATTAATAATGCAAGTGCATTAGTGGCATCTAAAACATATTTGTTATTGCAATTTATAAATGGAGAAATCAGATTGTATACCTTCAGACTGACTTTCTGACAACTTTTCTAAGTAATGTTTTACATTTACATCTTTTGAATTTTTCATGACAAAATCATTAATTTTTGCGTATAAATTGTATTCTTGATTCGGGAAAAGTTTTTGGAAATCCACTTCAAACTAAAAATAATTATAAATTTCATGTTCTACCATAAATGTAAATGAAATTCAATATATATTCCTACAAAATAATAATTTCATATAGCTTACGTACTAAAGTGTATCCTAGAGGTCTCTTAAGTGCAGGGAATGTTGTTAAATATTCAAATATTGTAGACTGACTCTCGTTGTACTTTTTTAGCCTTGTTTTGGACGTTTCCTTCCAATGTTCAATCACTTGTGGCCACGGTTCGTAGTTATTTTTTAACCACTGTACGATATTTCATAGTTATCGTCTTCTGCACTCAATTCCTCTTCCGAGATTTCTATAAACACAGTTGGTCCATTATAAAATTTCTATTTTTATAAAAAAAACTAACCTACTGTTACTATTTCCTTTAGTCTCTAAAATACCAGACTGTCTTAATGTTCTTCTAGTATTGTGGTACTTATCAAATAATTTTCCACGCGCACACTTTTTGTATTTTCCGTCTACGTTGCTATACGGTGTATAATATGTTTCAATTCTTTCCTTTGGAAATAACTGTTTAATATAGCGTGCGAGCTGAATAAACCGTCTTGAAGGAATTCTATAAAAAAGTTTTTATTTCTCAGAAGCTAATGCTTTTAAAAAATAATGTATTTCACCTTTTGTCCAAACGGGTTCGCAGTTCTTCTTCAATAATGATTGATACTAGATTGTTCTGTAAGGTAGGTGTTAATGACGTTTCAGAAGACTTTGTTTGCAACAACTGACGTCCCTTAACACTTTTCTTTAAACATTTTTTTAGGTCCTGAAAGATATTTACTTTAAAATGGAATTGAGGGGACATAATTATGTATAATTATACACATTTGTTTCTTCAGAAAGCATTATTTTAGTGAAAAATAATTGCATAGTAAATATATGTTACTTGCTTAACGATTTGCCATAACAAAAAATACAAAACAGAACAATGTAAGAATATAAATTAACTTACAAAATCATAGGTAATTAGTTCATCCCCTACTGTGGGATTGCCAATGAAGGCATTTTGCCTTTTATAGGGAACAGGTACAAGATCTAGAATTATACATAATTAAACGAATTTAAAAATTCAAGCTCATACCTACCTAGTGCTTTATCTTGAAAAAAATCCTCGTAGTCTTTGGATATAATTTCATTTAACGGTGTAGATGACTGTGAAGGAGTCGAGCAAATAGAAGTGAAGCTAGCATCAGATAATATTGGATTTTCATCGACAGCCAAACTGTTTAATGATGTAGTTGAAGCAGGTGACAACGAATTGTCCAAATTATAGAGAGGTCGTGAGATAAAATTCAAATCAGACACGCTATGGTTCCGTTTGCTGGTGGATGGACCATCAGAACTCTCGATATCCACAATACAGATGTCAGTTTTTAAATGTTTAAAGTGGGACAAAAACTTTGTTCAATCTCCTATTTTTGGAATAAGTTCCTTTATTAAATCCTCCGTTAGGTTAATAAAGGCTGCAAAATCTACACCCTGTTCTGAAAGATGAGAATCGTAATTACTAAATTGTGATATAATACTACTTATTTGAAATAAGTTAAATTAAAAAGTTTTTTCAAAGAGAAAAAATGATCTTTTCATTTTTACTCAACAGCCGTAGAAATAATGATGACGATTGTTGAGTAATAAAATAAATAATAAATAAATGATTGTTGAGTAACATGTATGGGTACTTCCGTCTTAAGTCATTATTTTGTGAGGAGTATTTTTGTTAGTTCTTTAGACCGCAACCTGCAATAAAACCATTACGCATTAGGATGCGTTCACTAAAGAACAAATACGGTTCTGGAAAGGTATATAAAGGTGGCGACTAATTTTGATTGACAGCTGTACACAGAGTATAGCTTCGAAAACGACTCGAGATTTTACAGCGGCAATACTCATAATAATTCGAGTCATTTGATTTTATCTTTTGCTGGACATTAACTGGAATTAAACAGGTATGTACCTTAGATACCTAAACCAAAGAATATTCTACAAGTGGTTCTAACTTTTAAATCCTGCCTAGTTGCCTTATCGTCTATCCGGTTGGAGTTGAGCAGCCATTTCTTGACACACCACAAGATCAAAGTTCTAGCAGCACTCCTTTTCACTACGTGTCTTAATCGCGCATTCGGGACTTAACACCGAACACTCGGAACTTAAGACCGCGCACTTGGAACTTAACACTCTGACATCGCGCAAGAATGACACTTCGTTAAGGAAAAAAAATCCTAACTTTGGCTTCTAGTTCTTCTACTATTTGTAACCAATCCCCTCATCTTCAAAGATACGGACCTACTATAAATGAAGAAAAATATCATTTCCCAAAAGTTAATTTTTTGTATGTTTGAATGCTGTAAGAAATTAATTCCACAAGGGCTCTTACCTTTTAAATCCAGTCCATATGTGTTTTCGTCCGCCAGGTGGACCTGTTCTGCCGCTTCTTGACACAGTAGAAGATCAAAGTTTCACAAGCACCACATTTCACTAGGTCTTTTAATCGCGCACTGGACACTTACACTCCGCAGAGGAAATTAAAATCGCCCAAAAATAACAATTGATTAAAAAAAATCCTACCTTTTTGGCTTCTACTTCTGCTTCCAATTACAGCGAATTCCCTCTTCTTCAGCATGCGGACCTACTGCAAATAAAGAAAAACATCATTTAACAAAATTTAAATTTTGGATCGTGGAATGTTGCAATTTTTTTTCTAAATGTTGTTTAAATCATTATTGCAATAACTTTACTAAAAAACTGTCACTTAGATACCTAAACCAAAGAATATTCTACAAATGGTTCTTACCCTTTAAATCCTGCCCGAATGCCTTATCGTCTGTCCTGTTTGAGTTGAGCAACCATTTCTTGACGCACCACAGGATCAAAGTTCTATCTGCACTACTTTTCACTACGTGTTTTAATCGCGCACTCGGGACTTAACACCGAACACTCGGAACTTAAGACCGCGCACTTGGAACTTAACACTCTGACATCGCGCAAGAATGACACTTCGTTAAGGAAAAAAAATCCTAACTTTGGCTTCTAGTTCTTCTACTATTTGTAACCAATCCCCTCATCTTCAAAGATACGGACCTACTATAAATGAAGAAAAATATCATTTCCCAAAAGTTAATTTTTTGTATGTTTGAATGCTGTAAGAAATTAATTCCACAAGGGCTCTTACCTTTTAAATCCAGTCCATATGTGTTTTCGTCCGCCAGGTTGGATCTGATCTGCCGCTTCTTGACACAGTAGAAGATCAAAGTTTCACAAGCACCACTTTTCACTAGGTCTTTTAATCGCGCACTGGACACTTAACACTCCGCACAAGAAATTAAAATCGCCCAAAAATAACAATTGATTTAAAAAAATCCTACCTTTTTGGCTTCTACTTCTGCTACCAATTACAGCGAATTCCCTCTTCTTCAGTCATACGGACCTACTGTAAATAAAGAAAAACATCATTTAACAAAATTTAAATTTTTGGATCGTGGAATGTTGTAATTTTTTTTCTAAATGTTGTTTAAATCATTATTGCAATAACTTTACTAAAAAAATATCACTTAGATACCTAAACCAAAGAATATTCTACAAATGGTTCTTACCCTTTAAATCCTGCCCAGATGCCTTTTCGTCTATCCGGTTGGAGTTGAGCGGCCATTTCTTGACACACCACAGGATCAAAGTTCTAGCTGCACTACTTCTCACTACGTGTTTTAATCGCGCACTCGGGACTTAACACCGAACACTCGGAACTTAAGACCGCGCACTTGGAACTTAACACTCTGACATCGCGCAAGAATGACACTTCGTTAAGGAAAAAAATCCTACCTTTGGCTTCTATTTCTACTGCAATTTGGAACCAATCCCTTCATCTTCAAAGATACGGACCTACTATAAATGAAGAAAAATATCATTTCCCAAACGTTTATTTTTTGTATGGTTGAATGCTGTAAAAAATCAATTCCACAAAGGTACTTACCTTTTAAATCCCATATGTAATTTCCTCCGCCAGGTTGGATCTGATCTGCCGCTTCTTGACACAGTAGAAGATCAAAGTTTCACAAGCACCGCTTTTCACTAGGTCTTTTAACCGCGCACTGGACACTTAACACTCCGCAGAGGAAATTAAAATCGCCCAAAAATAACAATTGATCTAAAAAATCCTACCTTTTTGGCTTCTACTTCTGCTACCAATTACAGCGAATTCCCTCTTCTTCAGTCATACGGACCTACTGTAAATAAAGAACATCATTTAACAAAATTTAAATTTTTGGATCGTGGAATGTTGTAATTTTTTTTCTAAATGTTGTTTAAATAATTATTGCAATAACTTTACTAAAAAAATGTCACTTAGATACCTAAACCAAAGAATATTCTACAAATGGTTCTTACCCTTTAAATCCTGCCCAGATGCCTTTTCGTCTATCCGGTTGGAGTTGAGCGGCCATTTCTTGACACACCACAGGATCAAAGTTCTAGCTGCACTACTTTCCACTACGTGTTTTAATCGCGCACTCGGGACTTAACACCGAACACTCGGAACTTAAGACCGCGCACTTGGAACTTAACACTCTGACATCGCGCAAGAATGACACTGCGTTAAGGAAAAAATAATCCTACCTTTAGCTTCTAGTTCTGCTACTATTTGTAACCAATTCCCTCATCTTCAAAGAGACGGACCTACTATAAATGAAGAAAAATATCATTTCCCAAAAGTTAATTTTTTGTATGGTTGAATGCTGTAAGAAATTAATTCCACAAAGGCTCTTACCTTTTAAATCCAGTCCATATGTGTTTTCGTCCGCCAGGTTGAAGCTTTTCTGCCGCTTCTTGACGTAGCGGAAGATCGAAGTTTTAGAATCACCACTTTTCACTAGGTCTTTTAATCGCGCACTGGATACTTAATATTCCGCAGTGGAAATTAACATCGCCCAAAAATAACAACTGATTTAAAAAAAAAAATCCTACCTTTTTGGCTTCTACTTCTGCTACCAGTTACAGCGAATTCCCTCTTCTTCAGTCATACGGACCTACTGTAAATAAAGAAAAACATCATTTAACAAAATTTAAATTTTTGGATCGTGGAATGTTGTAATTTTTTTTCTAAATGTTGTTTAAATCATTATTGCAATAACTTTACTAAAAAAATGTCACTTAGATACCTAAACCAAAAATATTCTACAAATTGTTCTTACCCTTTAAATCCTGCCCAGATGCCTTTTCGTCTATCCGGTTGGAGTTCAGCGGCCATTTCTTGACACACCACAGGATCAAAGTTCTAGCAGCACTCCTTTTCACTACGTGTCTTAATCGCGCATTCGGGACTTAACACCGAACACTCGGAACTTAAGACCGCGCACTTGGAACTTAACACTCTGACATCGCGCAAGATTGACACTGCGTTAAGGAAAAAAAATCCTACCTTTGGCTTCTAGTTCTGCTACTATTTGTAACCAATCCTTTCATCTTCAAAGATACGGACCTACTATAAATGAAGAAAAATATAATTTCCTAAAAGTTAATTTTTTGTATAGTTGAATGCTGTAAGAAATCAATTCCACAAAGGTTCTTACCTTTTAAATCCAGTCCAAATGTATTTTCCTCCGGCATCGCCAGGTTGAATCTGATCTGTCGCTTCTTGACACAGCAGAAGATCAAAGTTTTAGAAGCACCACTTTTCACTAGTCTTTTAATCGCGCACTGGACACTTAACACTCCGCATAGGAAATTAACATCGCCCAAAAATAACAATTGATTAAAAAAGTCCTACCTTTTTGGCTTCTACTTCTGCTACCAGTTACAGCAAATCCCCTCTTCTTGAGCATACGGACCTACTGTAAATAAAGAAAAACATCATTTAACAAAATGTAATTTTTTGTATCATGGAATGTTATATTTTTTCTATTTGAAGTTGTTTAAATCATTAGTGCAACAGCTTTACTAAAAATATGTCCCGGAAATATCTAAATACAAAGAACATTCTACAAATGGTTCTTACCCTTTAACTCCTGCCCAGATCCCTTATCGTCTGTCCGGTTGGAGTTG